TCCCCCCCCCCCCCCCCCCATTATATTTTCTGAAAGGAGAGACCCTGTAGAATATAAAATATGCTAGTTGCAATTTTTTATGTTGCACAAACATAGGAAAACATTTTCCACAAATGTTTATCAAATCAATATTTTTAGGAAACAATACACTAAAATTTAGATTTTAGTGCTCACCAGCAGAATATAATACCCAATTTTTTGGTAAAATGTCAAAGATGGGGTTGTGTTGGGTAAATAGAGACCAAATATGTCAAAACTTAAAATTTTGCGTTCCCAGGAAATGGCAAAAAACGACAGCACCCAAAATTGCCCATAGGCGACAATGTAAAAGCCTTTACCACTCATCAATCAAGGGTTAACACTGATTAACCACTTCAAGACCAGGTGTTTAGACCCTCTTCCTGGCCAGGCCATTTTTCAGTGTTCAGCGCTGCAGTCCTTTGACTGACGTTTATTCCGTCATGCAACGCTGTACTGAAATGAATTTTATACCATTTTTTGGGGACAGATAGGGCTTTATTTTGGGGGTATTTAATCACCACTGGGGTTTTTATTTTTTATTATAATTAGGAATACAGCTACGTGGGGACAGTGTTGCCAGCTGTGGTGAAGGTGGGGTGCACACTTTCTAGCAGCATACAAGTGACTAAGTGGCTCTACAGCCTCCTGGTCACTTGTATGAGAAAGCAAACAGTTGGCTAAAAAGAACAGTACCAGGAGCACAGCTGCTGCAGCAGCTGTGCTCTTGGTATAACCAGTTGCAGACCGCACCATTTATCTAGGTATAAAGAGCCTGAAAATGAACATTTTCTGATACTTACCTGTCCTGACGCCCCCATCCCTTTTAGGCTTTTGCGGAGCAAAACCAACCGAAGAATCTGAAGTATCTGACACTTCCCGGTGTATCGGATGGCTGCATCCCTTGCTGCAGGGAATGTTGCTTAGCGACAAGAGCATCCTGATCTTTTGTAACTGCCTCGCTATCATTAACCAGATGTGTTATAGGATATTTTACTGCTGCACAGGTGTCTTGTACTAAGCAGAGTTTGGATTTGAAATACAAATGATTAGAGCTCAGTGAAATTTAATGCCAATCGTTTAACCTTTTTCCAGTTTACCTGGTGCTTGGATGCCTGTATCCGAGAGAAGTTTGTGGATGCAAAGAGAGCCCGGGAACTGCAGGGATTCTTGGATGGAGTGAAGAAAGGGCAAGAACAGGTGCTGGGGTGAGAACTTTATGCTGTTTAAAGTAGCATAGAAGTAGAACCTATAACAGTGAGAGGGAGCCAGCTCAATGATTCTTGTGTGTAGCATCTGTGTCTCCTGAGGTGACAAGCTGTTGTCAGCTGTGAAATGTCCTCAGGGCAGGACTCGTTCAGACAGAGCTGCAGTACAGGCAAGGGACAGGTCATACAGGATAACAGTATACTGAAAACAGGCTGATTATATAAAGAAGGATAGCGCCAGGAATAACAAAGTGCTGAAATGCCACAAAGCAACTGCGGGTATCTTTTGGCTCAGGATCTGTTCCTGTTCATTGAGCAGATTACATATTTGGCAGTAGGTGAATCCAACAATACATGCATTCCCTATTTTGACCTATGGGTGGTATCAATGCATGCTTTGGGAAAAGGCTTCTGGCCTGTGCTGAGATTGAGCCAACAACTTCATCTTTTTACCATGTTAATCCTAAATACCCTATACAATTGCTTCTACCTCCAGCCTTTATAGTAGCTGTGGCTTCAGTATGTGGTCATGTACCAGTCATTTCTGCTATTAAAACCTATAAAGAGTCTTCTGCTGCACAGGCCATGAGGTGCTGCTGCTGGATGATTAGTGTGGGGCCTGTAGATAAAACATATTTCTGGAACAGAAGTACACAGTTTGATTGTGTTTGAATCTCTACCTTCTTCACTGTCCCAGCACATGGCAGCTTGGATAGTAATTCCCAAAGTCTATGGAAACTTGTCATAGAAATGAACCCTGCTCTGTTTATTACAGGGACTTGTCCATGATCCTTTGTGACCCTTTTGCAATCAACACCCTAGCTCTCAGCACCATCCGCAACCTCCAGGATCTAATTAGCCAAGAGTCCCTCCCAAGGGTAAGTACCAGAGACCCCCACAAATGTAATACACAGTGTGTAATAAGGTATGTGAAACTATTCCCAATTCCATTTCATAAATACCTATTGCATCCTACACATCGGCTACACTTTCAAATCAGGTTGACAATGACTGGTCGCTTTGAGACAAAACCGAAATCTGGAATGAGCTTCTCATGAAGTCTCTACCAATCTTCTGCAAAGTTACTACACGTCGAGAATCTGAGGATCCACATTGATGGGGCTAACTACCACTTAACAAAATTATTATCAAAACCACTGACCGTATTATGTTGGGCACAAGGAGGGGTAAAAGAAGATTGCAGACAACACACAGAGTTCAGGCATGTTTCAGATCTTTCCATGTAGAAAGAATTTCAATCTTAGCAAATGGTGTCACTTTTGTGAGGGCAAGACTATGTGCAAGGACTGATTGCAGAGATTTTTGCGATTTATACTTTAATACAGTTTGCATAGATTTATTTATTTTTTTATTATTATTTTAAATGTGTTTTTTTAGATAGTTATTTTAAATGGTAGTAAACGGAATGTAAAAGTCTCTCTTTCTATACATTGCAAGTTTTAAATCTCCTAAACATATGTTTGCCCAGTCAATTCTGTCCCTGTGGAGGATTTCTTCAGAGACAACCTTTTTTGTTACCTTTTATTAAACATTTATGAACATCACTTTGTCTTTTTTGCTTTAGGATAGCCCTGAGCTGCTGCTTCTCCTGAGGATGTTGACCCTGGGACATGGCGCTTGGGATATGATAGATAGTCAAGTGTTTAAGGAGCCAAAACTGGTAAGTTTCCGCTATCGGGTACCCATTCCAAAACCTTATACATTTTACACTTAGAATTGAAAATTAAGCTGTAAGATGCATACAGGGAGGGCAACCTAATTGCTAAATACTTGTAATAGGTATATGAGGGCCCTGCTTGTAATATAGGAGCGGAATTCACAAACATACACACTGCAGCTCCTTGCTGTCTCTCACATACAGAAAACCTGATGTATATTTAAAATATGTCAGTACTAAACAGTTTGTCACACCCTTCAATCAAATTCAGGCCTGGCTTGGACCTCCTAAATGGCATGCATATGAAGAGCTTTATAGGAGCAATATGGAGCCCTACCTACGGATATGGCCAGGCTGGACTATATATCGGGACACAAGTGCATTTAAAATTACTGTTGACTACTTAGAGTCACTAGACATGCTCGGACTATCCTTTCATACGTCCCCTAATCCATTGTGACCTCTCGCTTCTATTACCCAAATGAATGCCTACAATGATCAACCTTTATAAATCCTAGATACAAGGCATGCCCTATCTTATCACCGACCCACTATTTCTTCCATGCCTTCCCCTTTTACCGATATTCTATACTTTAAAACACACCTTCCCTCTTCTCCTTCCTTCCTTGTTCAAATCTCATGGTTTATGTTCGTCACAAAAAGGACAAGATCTTTTGGATCAAATTCCTTAATTGTGTGTATGTCAACATGCTCCATGACTTTGTATTCTTTATATCATTTTAAAACATTTAATATACAAATGTTTTGATTGAGGTCTGGCTTGGACTGAATGTGGTTTTTATAATGATCAGAAAGAGAGGAAGTTGCAAAGCAGGATTTAGGAAGTACACTGTTGGGATCATGTGTGGAGCTCTCTGGGTCCCGAGGATTGTAAATAATAGTGGATCTCTAAGCATTACTTTTGATGTAGTTTTGGATAGATTGGGAAAAAGGGTTAGACTTTTGGGAAGATTTTCCTTCATGTCTGTCCTGGTGATGTGCTGCATGGACAGGAAGTGAAAAGAAATCAGAGAGAGACATTGACAGCAGCAATATCTGAAAACTGAAAAAAAAAGTTTGGTTAGATTGACACTTTAAAGGCCACTAGAAATATCTGGTGCTTTGAGATATAAAATAGCTTGTGACCTTTTCCCCTTCCTCTCACAGTGCAATGCTTGGGCCTGAATGGCTGTCAGACCTGAACAATGTCATATGAGCAGGAGAAAAGGTCCTGGGTAAGCGCCAACAGTGTCTGACACAGAGCTTACAGTGTTTACTCTCACAGCTTCAACAGAATAAGGGAGCGGCGAGAGTGCACTGGAAGTATCAGTGGATGTGAGTGTTTGCGTGTGTGAGGAAGGAAGTAGGATAACTTTAATGAGCACCTTTCACTTTGCTATGGGGAAAGTGACCGATTCCTTTTAAAGTAAGCTGAGAGATTTTAGCACACTTGCAGCATTTGGCAGATAACATTATTAGCTAACCAATTGTAGTCACTTGTTACCTAGAATAGGTCTCCAGGTGTCACGATGTACATGGTGGGAGTTGGAATTCTACCCTTCAGCTAATCTGTAAAGGCCAACTCCAAATATAGGAAAACCTCCACCACCCCCCACAAAGAAATAGACTCAACACCCTTAGTTACTAAAATAGTTAATGTACAGTGCCTGTAAAGTGATTTCTGCATAAAATTATTTGTCTGTGAACTATACAACATTCATAACTTATTCATAAAATTTGTGTAGAGTGAAAGGCTATATAGCATATGATGAAAGAGCAATTTGGTGTCCCCTTTTCAACAGGAAGGATGTATACCCCAAGTGTAGGGATGATCAGATACCAGTGCCGACACTTGGCATTTTCATGAGAACTACCAGGGTTGCAGCTGGGCCGGGACCTGGCACTCCACCACTGTCCTGAAATCATTAGTCTGTATTGAAAAATGGTCACATGACAATAAACAAATATGTATCAGTACTTGTATCAGTACTAAAAATTGTATTGGTGCATATATATATATATATATATTAAAAAAGGAATGCTCAATTTCCAGGAGCTCTGTGTGCTCCTTTAAAAATTGCAGCTGCTTCCTAGCTTTAGAATTTTTCTCTAGTGTAGTCTTGCAGCTAGAATAGATAGTATCTGTACTTGTACCGAGTACGGTACTTGGTATCTGAACATATTCAAAGTCTGCTGTATCCTCACGTGAACAGAATAATAAAACTTTTACAGTGTTAATAAATCCTATTTTTTTTCTTTTCTTTAGGAAGCGGAACTGATTTCTAGATTTCTTCCTCTGTTAATGTCCTTTGTGGTCGATGACTACACTTTCAATGTGGAACACAAATTACCGACGGAGGAGAAAGTGCCGGTTACTTATCCCAACACCCTACCGGATGTCTTTATCAGGTGTGTTTGTTTTGGTCTAAATATGGACAGTTCTTATTCCTAACCTGTGAGGTAATTTGTTTGCAGTGTCCTGCTGCAAAGATTTCCCTTTACTTCCTGGTCTGGAGACAGAGTGACAATCTCCCTACAGGGAGGGGAATTCTTACATTTTAGAGTTGGCACCAAAACATTTGTCCCTGTTGGAAGATTTCCCTTGCTTCTGCTTTTGTAAACTAAAATGTAACATTTCCACTTTTACATTCTGCCTCAGTGACATGGTCACCAATAGAGAGGGTTCATCTACACAGAGAACAAAGACAGAAAAACTTGGCAGAGGGCCCACCCCTTTCCTCTCTTCTAAACAAACTAAACCAAAACGTTTTCCTTTACATATACTTTTAATTGGGAACTGTTAAATCCTGTGACATCCTGAAAGGGTTTCTAAATATGAATTTATCTAAGTTATTGGATCTGAAATAATGGTTAAGGTGCATGCATAGTTTATTATTATCACAAATCCCTCAGATGCATACTTGCCTTTATCTGACAGCTGCAGGTTTGCTGTTTGTTTACATCCAGGAGTGCAGGCCTTCACTGTCCTGAGCTGACTCTGCATTACAACCCACAATTATAGATGGTCCCATAGAAGTGGGGTTGTAATGTGCAGCCAGAACAGTGAAGACTTAGCTGTTAGATGCACTTTGTTTAAAAGTACACTTACTCTTTAAGTATGGATACTTGTACATGGATGATTCTAAATATATATTTGTAATTTAAAGCAACTGGGAAAGTAGGTGGGTTAAGACCTCTGCCAGCTTTTAGTTTCTGTCTGTGTCCTTTATTGGGGAGATCTTCTCTTAAATCAGCCGGTATATATTATTGGTATTAGTAACTGGTTAGTGTGAACTGGTGATAGCTGCTGGGTTTTTGGTTATTCTTTGGTTCTCGTATTAGGATGCACTTTTTAGGTGATGATTCTAATTTAAAATGTATTTTGATTGTAAGCTTAATGCATTATTTCATGCCATTTTATGTGTCATTTCAGATTTTTGAAGGACAACAGAATAGCCTGCGAGGTGGGACTGTATTACATACTGCACATCACAAAACAGAGGAATAAGAACTCCCTGCTTCGCCTGCTTCCTGCTCTCAGTAAGTGTAGCTTTTATATTCTGCAGAAAAACAATGGTAAAGATTTGAAATGCATCTAACCTTGTTTATGTTTTTGTGGTTTTGCATTGCATTCAGGGATTAGAACCCTTGTCAGGCTTTTGTCTGTGTCACTGCTCACGGGAATGAAAATGGTGGGAAAATGCCAAATTTGGGATTGCCATCAAAAAAATTAAGAGGGGAGAGCTTCCCAAATTTTTTAAAAAATAAGAATAGCTGTGTGAGAGGGGTTTTGTCTCGTTTCCTTGTGTTGTGTCTTCAGGGCAGGAAGTCAAGGTAAATCTCCCCAATGGGGAAGGTTTGGCTCTTGATACACTTTAAGGTCAAGTATAGACACACTAGTTGCCAAACAGTTTCCTGTTACAGCCGTTCACTGATGGAAAGAGCTTTTTTTTTCCCATTGCAGAGGAGACGTTTAATGACACGGCTTTCACAGATATCTTCCTGCACCTTTTCACCAGCAACCTGACACTTCTTCCCGATGAATTCAGTTCAGAAGAATTTTGCAACCAGATATTCGATGGCTTTTTTCTCATAGCCTGCGCAAAGTAAGAATCTTCTAATAATAATAATAGTAAATCCTTGTGTATGTACAAATAATAATCAATGCATGCAGGGGTTATAGGAGGAGCTAAAAACATTGTATGTTGCTGAAGTAACTTAAGGCTTGCCAGCCCAAGGGCATTCTGTGTGAGCTCTTCTTAAATAAATAAATTCCAAGGTGCTCACTTTATAATGACTTTGTGATAATAGAAGGTAATCAGCCAACTCTATACACAAAACACCAAGTGACAGGCATAATGTTTAGTTCATTTGTACCCGTAGGTGTCAAGCTAAAAGATACTAATTCTGAATCTTTAGGAAACCTTGTTATTGTGGCGGTGTTATACAGACCGTAAAAGTAGCGATACAATCGCTCAAAATCAAGAATCCTACATTCCAGAAATCCATTGCACCAAACTATCATTTCCAGCTATAAAGGAATGACCCTCCCTGGAAGGAAATCCAATCAAATGTATTCACATTGATCCTTCTTGCTTTTGGAAGTGTCAAACAATTGTCTTTTAGGGACAGAATATCTGAAATGAGTAAATCTAGTAGACTGTTTATTTATCATCTTGTATATGACCAGCTCAGGATAATGCCGACATTTCCCTGCACACTAATACAGTGTTAGCAATATATTCTGCCTGTAATCTGTGGCACTGTTCTTATTATTCTTTGTGGAATTGGCTCTAAGTCATGTTCCCTGTGGCAGTGACAATAGTCCCTATTTATTCTCTCATTAAAGGAGAACTATGGGGTTTAAGTCTTTTTCCCATAGTTCTCCTTAGGGTAACGGGAGGACACAAATTAGCGTCCTCCCGTCACCCTAGGCTCAGTATACCGCGAGCTGTAGCTCGTGGTATACTGAGACGCTGAAGCGGCTCCCGACAATTGTGCCGGGATCTGCCCAGCTGCGTGACTGACAGCTGGCTCTGCCTATCTAAAGGCAGAGCCAGCTGTCAGTCACGCAGCTGGGCAGATCCCGGCACAATTGTCGGGAGCCGCTTCAGCGTCTCAGTATACCACGAGCTACAGCTCGCGGTATACTGAGCCTAGGGTGACGGGAGGACGCTAATTTGTGTCCTCCCGTTACCCTAAGGAGAACTATGGGGTTTAAGTCTTTTTCCCATAGTTCTCCTTAGGGTAACGGGAGGACACAAATTAGCGTCCTCCCGTCACCCTAGGCTCAGTATACCGCGAGCTGTAGCTCGTGGTATACTGAGACGCTGAAGCGGCTCCCGACAATTGTGCCGGGATCTGCCCAGCTGCGTGACTGACAGCTGGCTCTGCCTATCTAAAGGCAGAGCCAGCTGTACCCGCCCCCTCCCCCATCCGTTCCGCCAGTCAGCACTAGCGGAGCGGGGAGGGGGGAATCCAGCCCCTCCCCTGTCACGGCAGAGAGCCGTGACAGGATCGAGAAGTGAGCGAACGCCGGGATGTGTTCGCTCACCTCCCGAGCTACTGAGCTGACCTGTGACAGTCTCATTGTCACAGGTCGGCTAGAACTATAAGGTGAGTGAAAATCACTCACCTCATAGTTCTCCTTTTTAATATAATAGCCCTGGCTTTATCATACAGCTGTGGTTCCAGAACATTAATATAATGTACACACACTTTGATTGTGTATGTGTGGTTTGGCTTGCAGATAAGAGTTGTGGGTCCTAGCTTTGCAGATAAACATAAAAGGTTCATTATTAATTTGCATATTCATGTCAATTTAGATGAATGGTTTGTGTCTCTATTCTACGGTCTTTTACCCCAATTATGTTGTGGGCAAAGTTATGTTTTCATGACTGTATTACATTTTACAGTTTAAGTACATGACAGGTAAGCTAACATGGCATGACCTTGAGCTGCCAATGGAATGGTAAAGTGTTTAATATAATATCGAAAGTCACACTTAGTCCAAATTTGATTTTCAGTAAATCATTAACCTTCCAAACTTTCACCTAGCTCACGTCATCCAAAAATCTCATTGAATTGGGCTACATGTGTTCACCTGGGAGTAAATGACGTCGGAGCTGGCAAGGTTCTCCATACTTGTGGTCCAAGACTCAATGTGACTTTTATCTGTATTTGTCAAGTTGTATGATAGACATTTTCTGGTTACGTCACATTAAAAGGGCAACCTCTTTGCATGTTTTGTCTTCAGTGAAAGTCAGGTGGGTAACGACTTTGCAGTGCGTTCTTATGATAATGACTCCATGTTAGTTGATCCAGTTAAACTGACTATGCTAAGATTTCTAGTTATGTTTAAACGTTCCCACACTGTGACAGAATTATTTTGCACCCAGGCACACAATAATGAGCAAAGTGCCGTAACACAGGGCAGCTATTCAGAAATCTCTTCATTCATATCTAAACGTATTTTAGATATGAATGCGGATGCACAATTGTGTGTGTGATTTGCATTTTTTTATGTACATGGGACATATTTGCTCATTATATATGAAGCTTTTGCCCCTCGCTTGTGGCTGTGTTTTTCTGATTGTTAGGCTATTCATATATTTTGCATATTCTGAAGGTGGAAAGCAGTCATCTAGAATGATTTCTTACTGTGCTGTTTATTATACCGGCAGAAAATGTACAAATCTCTCTGTACAAAATATGATCATGAGATTGGAGAACAAAAAGCAGGTAAAAATGTGATAGTCACATCAAACATACTTTCTGTTACATGTTGCAGTAATGTCTCACAGGTTGAAGGAGAAAGTATGTGTGCCTTTGTGCTTCTTGGGGCACTGAATAAAGTCATTGAAAGGTTTGATCCTTTTGCAGGAAGGAGAACATTCACCGTCATGTCCTCCGATTAGTTCTACACCTCCACCACAAGGTGGCACCTTCCAAAGTGGAGTCTTTACAGAAAGCCCTGGAGCCACCCAAAACTGTGAGTAAGGGGAGGGGATTGTGTTATCCCTCACTATTAGGGGGTCTGTGGTTAGTTGTGACACATCTCTATAGCAAAAGGCAAGAAACTATAAGAACCTGTAACGGCACAGCAGGAGAAGGCATGATAGAATGTGTAGTTCACGGGGGAATAATAATAATAATGATGATGTTGTGTATTTTCTTAGTGCTGGCAGTGAAAGGCTTTTCCTATTCAACTAGGAATGGGGAATGATCCTTTGCTGCCGATTGGTCTTCCTGTTTGGCTCCCCCTCTGTTGCATTTGTTTAAATCATTCTATTACACAGCCCAGAGGCTACCACTGCTTAAAGGAGAACTACGGGGTAAGTTTTTTTTTTCCCAAGTCATCTTCCAGGGCAGCATCTGAGAGGGAGAATCCACCCACCCAAACAGGAAACACATCATCCACAATTAAAATAAAAGGGGCGGTACAGCCCCACCACCTCAGTTTTTTGTGTTTCCTCTGGCCTAACACGAGCATCGTAACCATTTGTTATTTTCCCTATAGGCCTGCGTGCTAGTTGCAGGGGCCTCCCAGTATGTGCTCCCCCATGATTCAGGGACAGTGGACCTGGGGGGTTGCATGCCTGGGCTTGTCCTGAGGATTAACCTTCAGGTTATTCTATTATGGGACCCTCCCTCCCCATCTATCCCTGAGGTTTCTTATCCGCCTTGAGGAAAAGCAACCATCCCCGGGTGCATATCGGCTCTAGCAGAGCTTTCCCTTACTCACATTTGGTTCAGCTCAGAGTTCTCCTCTGCCTTGCCTTGAATGGGGCGGTTTGCCATCCATGCTCCCTATGTGTGCTGCCATGTTGTGGATATTCATATCCTGTAGCATCCAGGGCCTCCTTGAATGGACAGCTATGCGATGGAGTAGTGAGTACCCCTGGCACCAGCATCCACAGACGCCAGGGAGGGAGTGCAGCGGGCGAGGGACGGAGCCACAAGCAGTCATGAACATGAGGTGTTCCACAAGGCTTCCTCTGGTTGGCAGTGCTAAACCATGCAGCTTGATTTCTGCTGTGTCATTCCCGGACACTAATGGCTCCAAAGGAAGGTTGGAGGCTTAGAGGGAAGTCTCCTTCCTCCTACCCCCCATTCTGTGGGCAGGGCACAGTGGGGGGGCCCCTTGGGAGGTGATCCTCCTTTTGGGTGTTGGTTGCTGAGGGTTGTGGTGCCTCTTATCACACATACAAAACGTGTGTTATGTCATTCCACCATTGATGTGGCTAGTTGGAGGCATGAGCTGCAGTGCAAACACCTTTTCAATCTGCAAGCAGCAACTCCCGACAATAGGCAACCTAATTACTCCTTCCTACACTGCTGGGGTTAGTGTTACACAGGAGTATTGGGGATTTCCCCCAATTTCGCGCTTTTGGCAATCTCCTTTTTGTGTTGGAACATATATAAGGAGCCAAGGATGGTTTTTTTGTACTTGCATCAGGCCTTTGGGTCATAGGCAACAGCCTATCTGTGTAAGCAAGGCAAACCTAGGCCGGTAAATGTTTTTTAAACTCCTTTTGCAAATAAACATTGGTGTGTCCATAAGCACTAGAGGCTTATTTCACACCAATTTTAGGTGCATACTATGGTTGTTTCCAGATGGAGCTTGATAGTGCTGCAGACGTATTGTGCCTCAGGGCTAAAACGTTTTTGTTGCTGTTAGCAACTCTGATTTACCACCTGGCTGTGCTGGGTGTGAGCTCACAAGCTGAAGGGCTATCATTGCTCTCACCTGAGCGAGGGCTGGGGAATGTTCCTTCAGCCCTAAATTAAGTGAACTTCCTTTTACTTGCCTGTTAGAGCATGGAAGCCTAACGACGCAAATCCCACAGAAGGGTAGATGCTGGGTGAGGTTATTTTATGTTCAAGGCTTTACTTCCTTGGCAGATGTGAACAGCCTCTAAAGCTTTTATTATACTTAACTCTCTCCTATATGGTTAAGTTTGCCTCTCTGTATAAGAGCCAGCATCTATCTTTTGCAGTGGTGAGGATTATTTTCTTCTAGTCTACAACTGCTCACAGGCTGAGATGATCCATTCATTGTATCGGTCTAGGTGTGTCTGCCTCACAGGTGTGGGGCCTTTTTTACTGATTTACTCGGGTTGCAACCTTTGGGTTTCTTGTACATCTCAGAGTGTACAGCACCTTTTGATGTCCATGATAAGGGCCTCTTTAGCTGAATTACTACAGTTTTATCTTACCTGGATAGAAGCTGTATATGTATAAGCATTTACTGGCTAAGTGAAAGGGCATGCAGCGTCCCTTGCCGTATGCTGACACAGCAATAAAAGGCTTTTCTCTGGTCTACATCTCTTGCACAGCTTGATGCATATATTGGTAGACAAGCACCTGTAAGCCCTTGCATGACTATGCTGTCTGCAAACTATCCCATTTACCTCTTTAAGGAGAGACTTGACTGGGTTTAATATGGTCATGAGCGTCAGTAGTGTGCATACCTTATGTAGGGGCTATACTGTCGCTGGAATAAACGCTTTATTATTTTAGTAAAAGCACCATTCGTTCATGAAGTGGTTAATGAACCTCAATCAGGCATACCTTATGTATTGGTGCTACTATGCTGTCTCTATGATTACCCATTTACTGCTTTTAGTGAAAGCATTACAGGTACATGGGGTAGTTCTGAATCTCAGTGTGGTCTCAACTGGTTAAAACATGTGCGTAATAAGAAGGTTTACTAACTCTTCTGTACTCGGCACAAGATGATTTACATTTTTGGCTAGAGAGATACATTGGGGGGGAATTTATCAAAACTGGAACAGTTGTCCATGGCAACCAATCAGCTTCTCTTCAGTTTGTTCAGTTAAGATTTGAAAATGAAAGTGAGAAGCTGATTGGTTGCCATGCACAGCTGCTCCAGATTTAGTCTGCTCCAGTTTTGATAAATCCCCCTCATTGTTTTGAAATGGTGCTTACTTTTATATCGGCCTTCAGACAAGTCAGTTTGCTGTGGACTCCTATGCTTTTGTCATTGCTCCTTGCGCTGTGTTGCTGAAGGGCTTGTTCACACCATTTTCTGCTGCAGATCCGCAGACTTGGTGCTATGCGTGCAGCTCGTTTTTACCGTGTTCGGGTTCCTTTTTTTTTTGTAGAGTGGGGCTGTTAACTGCAGTGTGGTGCGTTTTCGTTGCGTTTTCGTTGCGTTTGTGACGCGTTCGTGCGCGTTCCGGACCAGAGAAAATGTGACATGCAGCAGTTTTTCTGTCCGGAACAGAACGGACTGCGCTGGTGAGAACTGCAGCCCATAAAACGCATAGGGATACATTGGGATGCATTTTTAGTGCAGGAGCGAACTGTTCTGGTCCGGACAGAATCCGGACATCGTGTGAATGAGCCCGAATTGGATGTACTAATTTTCTCTCTCTCTCTTTCACTAAACAGGGTGGGGATGCTCTTAAGGATCTTTATAACCAGCTGTGTGAGAAGTTACAGCAGAGGAAAGCTAGCCCACAACCCCCCGAACCAGAAGCCCCTAGTATGGACCTACCCATGCACAATGTCACCACTCCTCCCATCATCTGAGACAATGTGCAGCATCAGAATTGGTCTGAAACAGCAAAACGGACATTTCCACGCTGCTGATAACCCTGCCTGTGCTCGTGCCTTGTTGTAGATGCTTAGAATATCTGCCACTGCTTATAAGGTCTGGGGTGTACCTGTGTGACAAGCCCCATGTGGAAGTTGTGACTATCATGCTGAATCTTGATTTTCTGGGGACGTGCAGCTCATCCAATACGGTTTATACAGAGTACAAAAGCCTCTCTGAGCTCTTTTACCTATTTATATATTTCTGGTTTGCGTCACTACTGGACCATGTAAGGATAAGGGGGCAGCACACAGAGGGCCTCTTCACCTTGCAGAGCAAACCGCAAGCTTCTATTTGCAAGGATTGCTATTCTGCTCATTTCCACAGGATGTTGTCAGACTCAAAGTAACATTAGAAAATGCAATAGCTTGCTAATGTGCGCTAGAGGTCCTGTGAAACAGGCAGGATGACTGAAAAGACTATTCACACTTGACCTGCATTGATGTGCGTAATAACATGCATCTTTATGCATACATTAATGTTTGTTTTTTTAAAGTATCCCATTGATTTCAATAAGAAAACAAATCGCACACAAATGTGCAGGTGTAAACCCAATCTAAAGGGAACCTGTCAGAATAGAAGCATAATGCTACTGGTGACTCGTTTTTGAAGCTTTTATCCTTGCTTTTCTATTTAGCAAGTCACTGACAGGACCATGTCATGCCCATGTTACCTGCCATAACACTGCACTGGCTGCATGATTGTTCCCGGTCAGTGACACATTGATTCGCTAAGGATGGCAAACTCGGAGCCTTTACCTTTAAAAAAAAACAAGTCAAGCTGCAGCTCCTGTGTCTGCCAGATTCCCTGATTACATCCTAAATTTGATACTGAAAGGCAGGAAAGCACAATCATTTCTCTTGTTGCAGGCAGTCAAAGGTTCCTTTTACAGGCTCATAGTAAGTGTTTATATTCAGCTGGGAGCCCTGGGGTAGAGTGCAGTCCCATGAAATGATTTCCTTTTGGGTGTATATAAGTCATAGAAGTGTTTGCATATATTTAACAGTCTGATGAACAACAAGAGTGTATTGTCCATAAACGATATCATCCTCATTTACACAAACACTCACTCGGGATTTGACTTTGCTTTTTGTAGAAATGTGTTTTATTTTTGTTTTGTAAAAAAAATAAAAGTTTTGATAATACAATTGTACAGCTGCTTGTTAATTTGGTGCCTTTGTTGCTGTTTATCACAATTTAGTTTTCAAAACACACCCCATAAGAGCTGTATGTATTGCTTTAGTGCAACCAATTTGAGGGCCTGTCTCCACTATATGCATGTTGAACGAAGTCAATTGTACAGTAGTAAAAAGGAACTAATGTCCCAGTGGTGATTGGTGTTGATCCGCTGTGGAAAAACGGGCCCTAAGGAGGAAGAAACTGGACAAAACTGACCTGTGGAAGCTGTGCTCAAAAATAGGCAGGTGGAGGGCAAATGACTAGTCACCAGTATTGCCTGTGGGTCTCCCTGCAGCTAATCTTTGCAAAACAAGGCCTGGTAAGTCAGTAATGGGCAATGTGTCTATGTGGAGGCAGCCATCTTGGTAGAAGCAGGGTTTTGATTTCCCATATAGGTGCCTCCAGCAAGAACAGTGGGTAGCATAGTAATGACGTTATCAAATCAGACTGAGGACTTGGATCTTAAACAGCAGATATACAGCTATGAGAATGTAAGCAGAGGAATGTTGGTCACACTCTCGTAACAGGAAGGGCTCTATTATTCAAGACGAATTCAAGAAAACGGGTAACCTTTTAGGAGTACTACTGAGACACAATTAACACTCCTATATGTTTGCTGAAACAACTAATCTATAAAGTCGATAATGAAAATCGTTAGGAAAGATTAGTGTTGGTTATGTGTTTTAGATGAAGTACTGAGTTCTTGAGGAATGCTGCATTTAAGTTTTTCCTCCTTAGCAGGAGATTGCATGTGTGTGTATACAGGAATACAGCATCAAAACAGAAGCCATATAGATCATAGATAAACTTGCATATAGGAAAAACGAGTATATAGACTAGCTGCGCACGGCGCCATCTAGTGCTCAAAAGACAATATTACAGATCTGAATGTCCATAATAAATAAAATCTGTGCATGTCAGCATAGGGCTGGTGGAAGCAAACACATTTATGGCTGGTTCACACGATCTCCAGTGCCTTTTCGGCATGGTTAGTGGCTGGAACACACTGGGTCGTATAGTGGAAGGCTCCCTGCGTTCTGGGGCAGGAAGGGGAATGCTGGGGCCATTCGCTATTTTTTGTAATCGCACTGCGGGTGGAAGGTGTCTGGTGCCAATTACTTGAATGGCACCGACACGCCCCCTCCCATCCCAGTTGTTTGCAGATACCATTCGCACGCCTCCTACAGTCTTACAGTATGAAAAATGATTGGTGGTGCCAAGGTGATCGCACGGATGGTGCCGTGCATACACTAACTGAGAACAGGATTTTCACCAGCACACACTAAAGATAAAGATATCAATATTCCATTGATATATTTATTGTAATATCAATGGAATATTGATATTTGTATATTTAGTGTGTGCTGGTGAAAATCCTGTCCTCCCATCCCAGAACGCAAGGAGGCTCCCACTATGTGATCCAGTGCGTTCCAGCCACTAACTGACATTATATTAGTGGCTGGAACCGCGATGGTGTGAAATGGCCCTAAAGTCTGTGAAGGCCGTGATACACTGCACATGGAGCTGCTCGCAGCAAAGAAAAGCGGTGATGCGCTGAGCTTTGAGTGCAGTGTTTCTAGCAATATCCTCTCCAGCGCTCAGCTAGGCGAGATGAAAAATGTAATCTCTAGCCAATCGGCTCTCGCATTTGAATCTGCACGTCCAGGACTTGGATTCAAGCGTGCAGCCAATCAGATTCCCCCAGAAAAGACGTCTGGAGAGAAGTCCTTTTGGTAATGTTTTCCTTCCTGCACAAGTTCTTTCTGTGACATATGTCAGGGATGAGAGCTGTACAGAAAGAATAAATAATATTTACTTATTTAACGGACATATCGTATTCAAAGACAAATTAATAATTATTTTATCAAATAGAATTTTTTTTTCTTCAAAAAAACAATTAAAAAAAATATTAAATGTTAATTATAAATGTAATAAATATAATAACGGTTATCGGCCCACTAATCGGTAAGGCTGCAACTAACGATTATTTTCATATAGTAAATCTCTTTGTGTTCAGGTTCACTGTAACTGCAGGATAATATAATTTGCATAGACTGGTTGAATATCCTGATGGTTCTTAAGAGGAGAGCCATCAACATTAAATAACACAGATCTCTCCCATGTGTCTGTGACCAGGGGACAGAAATTGCCATTTACAACTATACTAGCATGCTGCAGCTTAACATAAGACAAAAAGAGTTCAGAAACTCACAATGTTGGAAATGTTAGATTTTCCTGTTGCGTATCTTTTATTGGTTTTAACGAGTGGTGCAAACAATGAAAGAAACAGCCGTTTTACCGTATTTTGGTATAGCAATACTGTTCTACAGTGAATACATACAGGTATGAGTGAAATGTCAAGTGGCAAGACATCAATGTGCATGTTAATACTTCACAGTGGTTTATGTAAGTAGGTACTCCAAAGGTCCATGTTAGAGTAGTCCTAAATAGTAGTAGAGTAGATAGATCGATGGACAGTAAGGTAAGAGGGTAAGGGAAAGAAGAAATAGGGTGGATAGCAATAGCTCAGAGGAAATCTACAGAGATTTGTTCAGGTAGGCTTGAAAGGGAAAGGAAATCTTTATAGTGATGTAATTAGTAACGGTGGACTGGTCTGTTCAAAATGACGAATTCATAGTTATTGTAAAGCATTCCATGGCTCACCAATGAAAATGAAAGAAATAGCTGTTGTCTATACCAACCACCCAGCTCTCTTTCTCTAACTGGCACTAGGAAATAGGTAGATTCTGGTTGCTATGGGCGTCCTCTTTTCCATACTTCAGTCTTTTTCCTTCCCCATAAACAGTAAGGGGTTTTTACATAGGAATAATTGATCTTCTCCCCCCAAAGTGAGCAGGCGTTATCTTGTCTGAACAGGTTGTGGCCCGCTAATCCTCATCACTATCTCCCTCCATCAGTGATATTTTTGGAATATCCTTTGGTATGTCATCCCTGACGTATTTATCCTGAAACGAAATTGACATGTCTACTATCTCGTGGAAGGGAAGGCAACTGTCTTTTGTGGACCTTTCTGCTCCGACTGATCCTGGAGTAGATTCAGAGTTGCCCCCTGCAGTTGGAATATATCCTTGAAAAGCAGAGGACTTCTTTAGGACACTTTTGCTAAAAGACGGTCCCCTAGGGGTACATGGCTTTGTAATCATGGGGTCTTTCTCTCTGTTTTGATCACCATGATGCTTTGTCATTGACTGAGGTAATGCTGTCCAGTCAATGCTGTTATCAGGGGTGAACTCAAATTTCAGTTTAGGGATGAAGATGGCATTTTCATCTGTACTTCTTGTCAGTACCAGTACTCCCTGACTCCTCCTTAAGATATCATTCCCCTTTAAAGAAAAGTGTGACTTGATGTCCTCTTCACATTTAGATGCTCCCATGTCTTCTATGTTTTCCTTAGCTGAGCTTGAGGACTGCCCAAAGTCCGTGCTAATTTTTTGTTCTGATGGATCCTCTTCTGATGGGAATGAGGCATGCCTTTTATTTGTAGAGTCTATCTCATTGGCTCTAGGACTTTTTTTTAGAGGATCATGACTTGATATAGTATCTTCTTGACTCTGTGACTCAGTGCATGCATCTCCCTGTGGATCACTTAAAGCATCTGCTTGAGTCTGGGTACGGTCATCAGATTCTACCTCAAGCTGAAGTCCTTCAGTTTCATGGTTCTCCTTACTACTAAGTTGTAGTTCAGAATCCTTTCTTTCTTCTAAACACTGCCCTTGGACGACTGCTGAATTCTTAGTTCTGAAATCTAAATCCTCTTC